GTCATGGGGTGGCAATGAATGAATCCAGGGGCAGCACCGTCCAACCTTCATGGGAGCTGATACACATGGGGACATGGGATAAAGACACACTTGTGCTCTAAAACAGTAGGGAAAATGGGAGAGGAAATCAGGATTTGGGAGCCCTGGTGGAGCTCTGGATGCTTAAGGGGCAACGTCTGGGGTATGATCTGCACTACCAGCTTTGAATGTCCTTGAGGATAAGCAAAATCTAGGCATGATCATAGAAACACAGAAAAGAATCACAGAATTGTTCTGGTTGGAAAAGACCTCTAAGATCATCCGGCCCAACCACTGACCCACCCCCACCATGTCCTCCGAACCACAGAGTCCCTCTGTGTCTCCACATTTCTTGGATGCCTCCAGGAACGGTGACTCCACCACCTCCATGGGAGCCCATTCCACCACCTGACACCCGACCCGAACCTCCCTGGCTCATTCCCTCTCATTCTATTGCTGTTTCCTAGAAGAAGAGGCCAACCCCCATCTTATCACAACCTCCTCTCAGGCAGTTGTAGAGGGCCATACGGTCTCTCCCAAGCCTCCTCTTCTCCAGACTGACCCATCCCAGCTCTCTCAGCTCACTCGGTGATCCCTAAGGCCCCCTCCAACCTAAGCCACTCTATGATTCCATTGGCTGCCATCACTGATCCGCTGCTTGAGGCAACTTCACTGCTCTGACACCCCAGAAGAGGTGGCAGGAAGGAGACCAAAGCATGCAGATGGACACGTTGGCCATGGAGGGGGTCCCTGGGGCTGGTAAGCAGGGGGGTTTCAGGTAAGTGTGTGCCCTTGTGGATTGACTTTTCTTGTCAGCAGTTGTTTCAGTCTCTATTTTAATGCAACTGTCTGAGACTGTGGAGAAATGTCAAGGTCTTGAAAGTTCCCTTATGCTTTATGCCCTGGTGTAGGGAACTGCTTTGGCAGGGGGTTGGACTCGATCATCTCTGGAGGTCCCTTCCAACCCCTACAGTTCTGTGATTCTGTGATGAGGCCGTGGGTCAAACCCCATGGATTTCAAAGCTCGAAGAGACAAAAAGATCTGTTTGTTTGTAGTGCAAGCTGTGGGACCAAGGACCTCCTTCGGGATACAGCTCTGCCACACTTCAAAAACTTTACTGTGAAAGTTTGAGAGTTTGTGAAAGTTTGTGGTTTTTCTCAGTTAACATCAATCACAGATGGTGTCAGTGACAGACGTTCGAGCTCAAAACAGAATCCCTCAGTTGCCACTTGTTTGCTGGGGGTGTCAAGGCAATGCCCCACGTGGAGTCATTTCTGCTGGGAGCGGAAGGGAGGTGCTGCCAAACGGGGCCGACGACTTTTAATGGACGACTGAAATTTTTGTTGGATGGTGATGCGTCCATGAGGGCCAGGAGTGCTGAACTTCTGTTGTTTCTTTGGTCTGTAATTGCACAACTGTCATTTTCTTCTCTTTTTTTTTTTTTTTTTTTCCTATTTCTTAAGCCCCACGTTTCCTCTTGGGGAATTTTCTGCTATTATCTTTGCCGCAAGGAAGCACAACACAAATCAACGCGGAAACTAGAAATAATTACTCTGAAGCCAAACACGAATTGCATTCCGCTTTTGACCACCTGTATCCCAAAGCAAACTATTTAATGACATCGTTTTGTTCCTCTGGGTAATTACTCAGGATGGTTTTTATGAGGTCTCGGTAGATGTGGTTAAAAAGTTGATGGCTGAGTTTGTGTGTTTAAATTGGCTCCGCTGTGCATCGTTAGAGTCTCGAGGTTTCTCTCCTTGAAATTAGCAGCTCTCTAATTAGGCATCCAGGCTTGATTACAGCTCTATTCTAGGGGACAGCAAGAGGCTGCCCCAAAAGAAAAATGGCCTATGAGAACTGGAACGATCCACAGTGCTTTAGTTCGACCCCAAGAAAAGTGAAGGTGCTCTTCTCTAATCAGAGCCGTTTGTCAGCAATGGGTCAAGCAGAGCCAGCTGCATGCTGGGGCTGCTCCAATGCTGCTTGGCGTGGGCTGGTTTCAAACAGCTCCCAGCTCTCCTAATCTCAGCAATGGTGAAGATGAGGCCAATTCAGTGCAGAACTGGTCCCCCCCCAGCTGCACCAGGGCTCCTGTTCTGCAGAGCTCTCATGGCCTTCTTGGAATGGATGCCCAGGGAGGTGGTGGAGTCACCGAGCCTGGGGGTGTTCAAGGAAAGGCTGGATGTTGTGTTGAGGGACATGGTTTATTGGGAGCTACTGGGAATAGGTGAACAGTTGGACTGGATGAGCTTTCAGGTCTTTTCCAACCTTGGTGATTCTATGATTCTAAGGGTTCTTCCCAGACCCTGGTCAGCACGGCTCAGTGTTTTGAATAGAATTGCTAATTCTGAGTTTCATAAGGGAGGACACTGCTGGAGAGAGCGACGCTGAATATGTAAGATTCACACCAACTAGTTTCTGCTGTACTACAGATAAGCAGCAGCTTAGGTGCATGGGAGATCCACCACACACGTACCTCCAGGTGGCTTTGAGGCACGATGAGGTGAGGAAAACTGCCTGGGAAATGTGAATTTGACTGGAGGTTGAATAATGCCCGCTCTACAGGCAACACGTGATGCGCAGGCGTTTGGGCTTAAGGCCTCATCTTTTTTTCTGAGCAGTATTTCGGGGTTGCTGCAATTACTGCACATGTACAGAGTATTTCAGAGGCGAGCAGGTCCAGCCTTGTGACACACTGATGTTCACTAGGCCTTGGCGTGCATGTAGCTAATAAAACTGATTAAAATAATTGCACGACCCAGTTGAGGAAACATTTGGTTACTGATGACATTCACAAGAGTTCAAGGGCCGTGTTTTCACACGGCAGATAGGAGTGGTGTGTGCAGTTCGTTATGATCTTGGGAATTAGTGGTACCTGATTTGCAAACCGAGCTATTTGCAGTCTTGTGCTAACAGCATGGCAAGTAAATTCTGCTTCTGCTGGTGGGTGAGGCTTCATCCTCTGGCTACAGGCAGCTACTGGGGCCTTCCTTTGATGGACTTGGTGGAGGTCCATATCTTGCAGCCAAAGGAGTCAGCAAATTTAGCCAGCTGACCAAGTCACATTATGCTCTGGGTAAGTGTTACAATAGGATGCCTTTGTAAGCTTTGGTTTGTAGCTCACTTTGAACCCCAAATGACCAAAGTCTCATTGGGTTGCTTCCCCTTACGATCAGTTTTAAGGTTTTTTCATCAAGTGGAAGGATGATTGGAGACAAAACAATTACATCATCCCCAAGCATTTGTAACTCCTCGATTTGCTGGAGTTGCTGTGCCCAGCTGAGAGCACCACGATCATCACTGAAACAACGCGAGGAAAGCCCTCCAGCACAGCAGAGCCTGGAGCACAGGACCATTGGTGATGGGTAGACAGGTGGCCTGGCTGATCCAGGAGGCCTTTTCCAACCCTGGAGATTCGATGATTCCATCAACAAATCATTTAGCTCAGTCACTGAGAATATTTTTAGCGGAGTCACTCCAAAAACATGGTGTGAATACGTTAAAAAATAAAATCAAATCTCACGCTCCGGAATCAAAACGTTGCAAAAGCAATTGTAGCTTTTCCTGTAGGTGAGGATAGAACGGATCTCTGCTGTAGGTGCTGCCAACCTCCGGGGTCGTTGGGCTGGCAGTTGTGCAGGGGGGATGGAGTGGACCAGGAGGGCGAGCTGCAAAGGTCTGCATAACCACAGCAGGACAGGCCTGTGGTTTGTCAACCTAATGCTGCAGAGAAGCTGTCGCCAAAGTTATTTTTGCCCCATTATGTGTAGGTGCCAGACCAAGGAAAGGTGGTTGGAAAACACTGGTGAAGGTTTTGTAAAGGTGACATAAGTGTGGCTTAAAGAAATCAGGACTCGGGACTCGTGTGATGTACAAAAATCCCACAATCTGGATGGTGCCTGAGTAGGACCCAGGGAGAAGAAAGCCTTTGATCTCCCTTCCCTGAGGGTAGGCTTGGGTTCTGAACCACAGCTCAGTGGGAAGGTTCTCAACACAAAAGTGGCCGGAATCCAAAGATTCGGGGCGAGGAAGTCATTTTATTGCATTGCTGTCTCTTTGTGACTCTTTCACTGCACTCAAAGTGCCTCATGCCCAAGAAAACCTCAGAGACACCCCTCCCTTGGTACGCCCACAGCACATAATTATGACACCTTGCTGATGAAGAGGCACTCCTGTGTCTGGTGTTCTAGCTGGCGCTCGTGTGTCTTTCAAGGTCTTTTCCAACACGAATCCATCTCTGCGTGAAAATTCTTGTGCTGTTAAATCAGGACCCATTTTTTCCTGAATAAATCGGTGCTCTTGGAGCTCCTGTGGGCTCATTTTGCTGTCAGCAGATCTTCTGATCGGACATAAAAGGGAAGAAGGGCAGGCAGGTTTCCTGGAGGCGCAGGCTGCAGCGCATCGCCAGTAACGAGCTCCTCGCCGCAGTGAGTGTTCCCTCTGCTTCCTGCTGTGCTCCACCTGAATCATTTCCCGTCTTCCCAAGTGATGCCGTGATTTAAACACCATGTGCCTTTTACTGCTGCTGAAGCATTTCTTGCAGCACTTTGAGGAATTTGCTCAGTAAGGAAGGAGGTGCTGGTACTGCACTTAATCTCCCCCTACAACGGCTGCTGAAGTTGCTACGAGCCGTGTTAATGCTGCAGAATGTGCCAAGTCTCCACGGAGGCCTCTGAGCTGGAAGAGAGAAGCAGGATGCCCAGCTATGTCCTGAAGTGCTCCTGCTGTTGTGTCTTTGTATTCAACTTTTCTCCCTCCAATCTGAGAAAAGTTAAACTTTTGGATTCATCACCGTTAAGCTTAATGCGATTTTTTATTTTTTTTCTTTCTCACTTTTCTTTTAGTTGATGCAAACTTGGAATTGTTTTTAAACCTCAACGCAGACCAAAACATCACCTTGTTAAGAAGGAAAATTGGATTTTGACTGTTCCTTTTTTTTTTCCCCAGGTACACTCGTGACATTTCCACAAGGAAAGATAAGATGCAGAGGATCAACACGTCGACAGTATCTGAGTTTATTCTCGTAGGCCTTTCTGACGCTCCGGAGGTGCGAGTTCTTCTCTTCGTGCTGTTCCTGAGCATCTATTTGGCCACCGTGGCAGGCAACGTCACAATCCTCGTTGCCATTAGGACAGATGCTCACCTGCACAGCCCCATGTACTTCTTCCTCGGCAACTTGTCCTTACTGGACATCCTATGTCCCACCATCACTGTGCCGAAGATGCTGCAGGCCTTGCTGTTTGGGAGCAAGGCGATCTCGTTCGCTGGTTGCATGCTCCAGCTGTTCCTCCTCATTGACGTCGTGGGCACAGAGATTTTCCTCCTGGCTGTGATGGCATACGACCGCTATGTCGCCATCTGCCACCCGCTGCAGTACGTGAACATGGTGAGCACGAGGCTGTGCGCTCACCTCGCCATCGGCACTTGGGTGGTCGGATTTCTTAATTCTCTGTTACACACCTCTCTGATTTGTACGCTCTTGTTTTGTGACTCTAACAAGGTTGACCAATATTACTGTGACATACCCCCTGTTCTGGCGCTGTCCTGCTCACCCACTGCCGGCAGGGAGCTGGTGACCCTCACAGTTGCTGGGGTCCTCGGAAGCAGCGCCTTCGCGGTCACTCTGATCTCATATATCCGCATCCTCCTCGCTGTCCTGTGCATGAACTCTGCTGAGAGCAGGCACAAAGCTTTCTCCACGTGCGGTGCTCACTTGACAGTGGTGAGCCTTTTCTATGGGACCACCATCTGCACGTACGTACGGCCTTCCTCCACCTACTCACCCCATCAGGAGAGGGTAGTTTCCATGCTATACGGGATCCTCACCCCCCTGCTGAACCCCATAATTTACAGCCTGAGGAACAAAGAAGTCCGAGGTGCCCTGGGGAGAGCGGTGAGCCAGATGAGAACCACTGTAATGAAATGAGGGCATCTCTCTCCTGGAGCCTGAGCAGTAGGGTAGGCACTGCCGGTTAGGACTTCTCTCCTCTTGCTTTAATCATCCAGAAATTAGAGCCTGGAATGGAAATCCCTGCTCTGAGCTTTACCTTCACAGGTAGAAAAAAGGGAGAGTTGTGCACCTCCGGAAAGCCAGCAGTGGCACAACTTGGGTCACCACCACAGGAGGGGGGAACCTCCGTTGGTCACCGCTGAGCACAGAGGAAGCTTGGATCTGAACCTTGGTCCTAGACACAGGCGTTGAATGTTTCTCTCAACGTATGAAATGCCAGTAAATGATACTGGAGGCATCCTTACAGATGCACAGCCTCTGTGTTAAAGCTGCTTGTAGGACTGGTTCTTACTGACCGTATCACTGCTGTGGACAAGAACAAAAGCACAGCCTTTGTGGGAGTCTGACTGGAGGGAAGCTCCTGTGCTTTCATGTGAGTTCACCCACTGACATGCCAAGGATCCGGCCGCAGTGCCAAGAAGCACAGCTGGCCGCAGTTTGTGCCATGTTTCTCAGTCTGCCAGGCTCTGATTCACCTCCCACACTTGTGGGGTGTCAGTGATGATGTCTCTGTGTTGGAAGGAATACTGGAAAATGCTTTAAAGTGGGGTGACAGGGAGGTTTTCCAGTCCTGCTCCTTGTGTCACCTGCTGCTGAATAACTGATGTGTTTTTCCTTGTTTGCACGTGGCTCCTTACTAAAAAGCAAATATCAAATATGTTTTTAGTTGCCTTTTCTGTGATTCCTGTCTTGGCAGGAAGGCTAAGCTAAGGATTTTCCTGTAGAAACTCAGACCTTAGTGGTAACAGATGCACATTCTGAATATTATATATGAGGAGCAAATTTAAGCTTCATCCTCAGCCATAGGTCACGTCGGCAATGGGTGCAAAGATCAACCACGACGACCCAAAGAGCTTTTGCCTGGGATAGCTTGCTCTCTAGACCCTTCCCCAGCTTCACTGCCCTTCTTTGAATAAACTCCAGTGCCTCAGTGCCCTTGTTGTAGAGAGTTCCTCTGAAGTGAATGCAATATTTGAGATGTAGTTTCACCAGAGCCGAGTAGAAGGGGAAAGTCACTGCTCCTGATGGCTACGCTATTCCTGATGCAAGCCAAGATGCTGCTGGACATCTTGGCCACCTGGGCAGCTTTTCAGTCACTCTTCTCCCAGCTTGTAGCACTGTACAGGGTTGTTGCGACCCAGCAGCACGACCTGGTAATTATTCTATTGGATTCCATATAATTGCTCTTGGCCCATCGATCCAGCCTGTCCAGATCCCTCTGCAGAGCTTTCCTGTCCTCAAGCAGGTCAACGCTCCTTCCTAACTTGGTATCATCTCCTAAATTCATGCTCATAGTTCCCTTGTCCAGATCACTGGAATCACAGCACCATCCAGACTGGAAAACGTCTCCATATGCAACCATGCACCAATATAACCCCACTAAACCACGTCCCTCAGCACATCTGGGTGTCCCTTGGACACCTCCAGGGACGGTGACTCCTCCACCTCCCTGGGCATTGCGTTCCACCACTCTTTTGGGAAAGAAATTTTTCTTAATACTGAACCTGAACCTCCCCTGGAACAACTTGAGGCCATTCCCTCTATGCCTATCACTAACGGCACGGGAGAAAAGGCCAATGCCCACCTTGCCACAACCTCCCCTCAGGTTGTTGTAGGGAGTGATAAAGACTCCCCTGAGCCGCCCCTTTTCCAGACCAAACAACCCCAGTTTCCTCAGCTGCTGCTCATAAGGCCTGTGCTCCAGACCCCTCCCCAGCTTTGTTCTTCTCTGGACACGCTCCAGGGCCTCCATTTCCTTCTTGCAGTAAGGAGCCCAAAACTGAAAATTCAAGCTGTGGCCTCACCGGTGCCAAATACAGCTGAATTATCTTCTCCCTAACCCTGTTAACTGCACAATTTCTGATACAAGCCAGGATGCCATTGGCCTTCTTGGCCACACCGCCGGCTCACGTTCAGCTGAGTATCAACCAACGCCTCCAGCCCTTTTCTTCCATGCATTCTTCCTCCCACTCTGCCCCAAGTCTGTAGCTCTGCCTGCAGTTGCTGTCACCAAAGTGCAGGACCCAGCATTTGGTCCTGTTGAACTTCATCCCGTTGAACTCAGCTCAGCAATCCATCCCGTGCAGATCCCTCTGCAGGATGCTCCTACCTCCAGGCAGATCAGCACTTGCTGACAGTTTGCTGCCATCTGCAAGCTTGCTGAGGGTGCACTCAATCCCCTCATCTAAGTCATCAGTAAAGATATTAAACAGGACAGGACCAACCCTGAGGAACGCTGATGAAGACGGTAAAGAGAACCGGCCCCAGTACTGAAAGCTGGGGAATACCAGTTCTGAACGGCCTCCAGCTGGGATAACTCCATTCACCACAAGTCCTTGGCCGCAGTCACCCCCCCAGAGAAGCACACACACATCCAGGCCATGGGCAGACAGTTTCTCCAGGAGAACCCTGTGGGGAACGGTGTCAAAAGCTTTATTCAAGTCTAGTAGGCAACATCCCCAGCACTTCCCCTCAGCCAAATGGGTCACCTTGCCATGCTCAGAGACCAGGTCGGTAAAGCAGGACTCGCCCTTCATAATCTCGTGTTGACTGGTCCCAGTCGCTTGGTTGTCCCATACGTGCTGTATGTGACACTCAGGATGATCTGCTCCATAACCTTCCTGGCACCAAGGTCAGGTTGACAGGCCTGTAGTTCTCTGGATGCTCCACCTGATCCTTCTTGTTGATGGACATCACGTCTGTTGGTCAACTGGGACCTCTCCTTTTTGCCACGACTGCTGATAAGTGGTGCAAAGTGGCTTGGTGTGCGCTTCCACTGTCTCCCTCACTAAAATTGGGTGGATCTCAGCTGGAGATCCAAGACTTGTGTGCATCTAACTGGTGTAGCAGGTCACTAAACATTTCTTCTGAGATTATGAGGACTTCATTCTGCTCCACATCCCTGCCTTCCAGCTCGGGGGGCTCGGCACCAACGGACAAACTGGCCAAACTACTACAGACGAGGCAAGGAAGGCAGAGATACCTCAACCTTTTCCACTTCCTTTGTCACTCTTTCCCCCCACTTCCAAAAAAAGGATGGAGATTCTTCTTAGCCTTCTGATTTCTGATGCACTTATTGAAGAAGTTTTTATTGTAAGCTGGGCTTTGATCCTTCTAACTTCCTCCCTGTGTAGCCTCATGGCATCTTTGTAGCCCTCGTGAAGAGCTTTCCCCTTCACCCAAAGATCTCTGTCATCTGAAATTCAGGAATAAAATTCCAAGTCCAATGCTGTGTTAGAAAGCAGCATTCTTTTGTTCACACGACGCACTGTGGGCAACTTGAGAAGCACACCCTCAGAGAGCTGAGGTTCCACGTCTGAACAGCTCAGGCACAGGTAAGCAGTGCATGGGCTTCAATCAGCATTCGTTCTTTCCCAAGAGCTCGTTGCTACGTGCCAATGTCCTGCTGGGCACGCGTGCTGGCATCAAGGCTGGTCGCACGATCATTGCCTTCATCCCCATTTTTCCACCATCACCTTCAGCACAGACACTTTTGGTGACCTTCAGCTGCTTTTCCCCAGTTTGGTTCATTTCCATGGCTTGTTACGTCCCACAACGAGCAACTTTCCATCTTGGTGCACCGCAGTGCAAAACAATCTGTGAGAAACCCGAGCAAGAAGCCCTTGCACCTGGGGGGTGCGAAGATCAAAGCCGTCTGTTGTGACTCCAGTGCATCTTGTGAAGCAGAACTGGTGAGAAAAACGAGGCTGTGCACACATCAAGCAATGCTGAAATGTGAAGTTTCAGAACTAGCACTCATTTTGCAAAGTTCATCATCCCAGTAGGCACCCTGGGCACCTGGGTGGGTTCAGCTTCAGCCAAAGGGCACGAAGGACACGAACCAAAAGATGCAGGTAAATTCATGGTGCAAAGCAGGGCCAGCAGGAGCTAGCACATCTGCTGCAGTGTCTGTGGGCAAAAGCCGTCCTGCCCTGCCGTGCTGCCTGTGGGGACGAATGCTAAAGCACTGCGCAATGCTGCCCAGAGTCTGTGGCACAAAACCCACCGTGGAGCCTTCAGATATAAACAACGTGGGCTCCTGCTCCAAACACCAACAGGTATCCTGACATGTTCACAAACCATTCTGTGCAATGCTGCTGCTGTCACCGTCACTGTCGCTGCCACTGTCTATCATTGTCCGATCACACTCACAATCACACTCACAGTCACACTCACAATCACACACTCACACTCAATCACACTCACACTCAATCACACAATCACAGTCACACTCACTCATTGATTCCTTTTGCTGAAGAAAAATATTGGTCATAAATTCGTATACTGACCCCTGCTGCTGAACAAACCAGTCTGTATCAGTACGAATGGAGTGGATTTACATGAGAAGAAGAAAACCAACACACACAAAGAACAAAACAAACAAAAAGCACCCAACCCCCAAAAAACCCAAAACACACCCCAAAATACCCAGAGTAAGGCAAGAGAAGTATATGCATACATAAACACGACTAGGCTACTGCAAATATTGGGCTATCTTGCTCATAGCAGGTATGAAGAACTTCTTAATGACTTATTTGGAGTGCTAATTGCTTCAGTCCCTAGAGACGAAGGCGTTTTCAGATCTGTTCAGAGCACATATATTCACGGGCTGCAGTTGTGCCTGCTGGCATTTACTGGTGGCACGGAGAACCGCAGCAGCAGGCGGCTTCAATTAGGTCAGCAGTTTGTTTGATGGGGGAGACGGCAGGCGAGGAGCCGGGGCTGCAGCTGGAGCTGGAGGCAGCTGTGTGCTGAGCTGAGAACAGGGGCATGACATTGATGGCACGGTGTGAGTGTGAGTGTGTGAGTGTGAGTGTGAGTGTGATTGTGTGATTGTGTGATTGTGTGAGTGTGATTGTGTGTGTCTAAGTGTGACTGTGTGTGTGATTATGTGATTGTGATTGTGTGAGTGTGAG